GAGAGGCGACCAAAACTTGCCTTGTTTGACAATTTATTTTAAACTAACTCTCGCAGGCAAAATTGGCTTTCAGTTTTAAACGTGTCAGGAAACAACTCCGACAATTATTTAACCAAAGTCCAAAAATTGGTGCAGGGTTCTTTTAAGACTGAAGCGGCGTAGAATTCTCGCCACCTGCCATGCGGTGCGGGAACTCCGGTGTTTATCGCTCCTTCATGTCGCACTCGAAAGGGAAGTTGTGTGGCCGAAAAGATCGAGGGAGGTTAGCGAAGCGCATCCGGCATCCAACATCGCGTTTCGAAAGGTCCCGGGGGTCTCGCTATCGATTTGCTCCCGCCCGCGCGATTCAATTTAGATGGGCGCTGCGGGGGCGGAACCCCCTCTCCCATCTCCTTGCCCTGCGGAAACCGCGATCGCGTGATCCACGGTGTCGCGTCAATATTGCTACTCTTTCCATATGCGCCTAAGCTTGCATTCAGGGCGAGCTTTAGATTGTGCTCTCTGCGACGACGTGCATAGATAAAAGCGAATTTTTTTTTTTTTTTTTTTGATTAGGCTTTTTTCTTTTAAACTGCGGTGATAGGTTTCCCCTGCTTTCTTGTTATCCTGCGTCTGTCTGTTGGTTCTCTGTAGGCTCTTTCTGCCTGAGAACGCCGCGGTAGCAACTTTGAAGAATGCGCATCCGCGCGTCGTGTGCATCTCCACCCAAGTAATATATATTTTCTTCATCGCCTTCCTTTGAAGTATTTCGTCTCTTTCTTCAGTGATTCATTTGATTGCGAGATATTTCTTTTCAGCCTGGTGGGGTCATAGGAATCGGCGAAAGATATTAGACGGAAGAGCGGAGAATTCTTTAGGGTTGTAATGAAACTCTCTCGTGTCTTTCAATAGGGAATTTTGCCCTGTGAAAACATCATGATCCATACGTTTTTTTTTTCTTCTTCGGAAGCTATTGTAGCCAGAGCAGCAGAGTCTTCCCCGATAAACATGCCACCAGCTGTGCTCTAATAACGCCGGGGATCATTCATTTCAACTCTATTCTTCGTCTTTGTGATGTAGTTTCTTTTGATAAATAGGACGAGATAATATGGTAGTGCGTGCCCACCTGCTTTCAAAGTCGTATATCCTTTTTTATCGCTTTCTTTAATTTCCTTTTCACAAAACCCGACCTAATAACCGACGGAACGAATCACGCACACCGGGTTTATCATCCCAGATGCCGAGTGGAAACGAGGAATGCTCTTCACCCCGTTGCCTACGACAGGGCCCCATTTGCCGCCGAGTCCGATAACGAGTATGACACGCATATAGTATGGCACCGGCGTCGTTTGAGTTGGAACCAATTAGATAACAAGGGTAACAAAGGCGCCTGTTTGGGCGAGGAAAACAAAACACAAACAAACGAACGAAAGTGACTATGCAAGCAGTTCTATACGCGCCGGGCCACGCACTCGCGTGTCGTTTGCGCTGCAATCGCGAGCGGAGGACTTGGGCCCACGGCCGGGTTCCAGGGAGCCTGACATCCGTTCCTCCGGCGTGGCTTCTCGTAATTAAAGTGTCTGTTCGTATCCGTCCGCCCTCACGACGCAATTATTTACTGCGGGGCGTCGTTCTTCACCGTGGCCACCGCTTCGCTACGAAAATTGACGCACAGTTGGCGAGCGGGTCTGCTACGCACGCCACCGTTTCACCTTACGATGGACCACATCGGACGCTATACGGCAGCGGTCTCAAACTCATTTGAGTGTGGGGGCCAGATATCTCATACCGGAAACGTTGTGGGCCAACGCAACAGCCCGGGGGGGAGGGGGGGGGGGGGGAGGGAGTCAGACGATTTTAAAAAGAAAAGACCTCGTCCTCTATGCTTTTTGTAACTCACAGTTTTGCCAATGACATGTTTAGATTTGATTGGTTTAATGACTACTTTAGGGCCTCATGTCATGTGATATCAAGAATTAAAATGACACTGCTCTGCCGATGTGCTAGCCTAGCATTTTTAATGGAACAAAAGAGAAATTGCACTGACGTCTTCGCTGCTTAATTCACTCGGAAATTAACCAAGTTCAACATGTCTCTAAAAATCAATCAGTTAATTTGACAGTTCTTGTTTTCCTGACGATTTGTATTACAACACTCTGAACAAATACTTTGAAGGCTCTAATTCCAACCTCGTAGCATTATCTTCGGCAACTACTCCTGCTGATCGAGAGTTCGCGCAGCCCGAGATATATTCATAAACGAATAGTTCGCGCTTGAAGCAGTAGCGTAATTGTTATACATTACAAAAAGTTGGGAAGCAAAAAAAATAAAAAAAAATTAAGCACCACAGAGAGCAAATGAGCACAGATAAATATGAACTATGTGAATACGTTGAAAGACCAGAGCTACTTTTCGAGCGCAAATGAATCGACCGAGATGAGATCACTATTTTCCTAACGAGCGTGTTGGTAAGATGTACTAGAACTAGAAAACAGAAAGTATAAAACAGAGAGAGGACGAAACACAGACGAGTACATTCTTTCAATGTACTCGTCTGTGTTTCGTCCTCTCTCTGTTTTATATTTTGTGTTATCTAGACATCACTATGGCGCATGCCATTTCCAGCGCATGAGAACCGGGAAGCGTTGCCGGTTGCCCGCGGGCCGCGTGTTTGAGACCCCTGCTATACGGTGAGACACTGCAAGAGACGAGGGGGAGACCAGAGTGCGCGGTGACATCAGAGATCAGAGTTCTTCTGATCGGAAGGATAGTGGCTAGAAAAAGCTTGCTGCCTTTGTCATCTACCCACTCTTCTAACGCCGAACGGCAGCGTCCGGCGTTCGAACGCGAGCCGCTGCGCGAGAGGCAGATGGCGCTCTTGTTCGCCCTGATTTGAAGCAGACCCTGTAATCCTTCTAACCGTAGAGCGGCGGACACCGCGCACGCTCTCTTCTCCTGCTGCGGACTTATGAAGTTACTGCGCGTCTCGCGTGTCGCTGCGAGCCTCTACCGAAGGCCACGTAACGCTGAAGCGGTAATTGATTAGCTAAATATATACGCCTCGTAACGTCCCTTGCAGTCCATTGCAAGGATTCAATGGAGCTTAGCCGCGCACCTTGTGTGTTTCGTAGCGGCAGATGATGTTACGCGCGGAACGTGAGACAAACGTTTCTCGCGAAAAAGAACGCGTCGTTCATAGGAGATATAACGATGCCGTCGTATATATGTCACTGCAAATGGTTATATATGGGGTAGTGATACGTGTTTCAAGTGGTTTGGAATTTAGTAAGATACGATTTGAAATACATATATTCAATTACTAAAGATAGAGACACGGCTTCAATAGACCGATCTCATCAGCCTGTTTGACTACGCCACCGCTGCCGCAATGCATCGAGTGAATATTAGTCTTTCTCAGCGTGCGACAACCTCTCTGGAGCTCTGCGCGTGTAGTGCACAAGACGGCACAATCCCTCGCATGCACCGCCGTCTGCCTCCTAGGAACTTTAGTTATGGCGGTGTCATGCATGCGCCGAACGTTTAGTCAGAGCCGTATATAAAGAGAGTTTGGCCATACATTAGGAAGTATGAGAGGCAAATGAGGAGACGCTATTGGTCAAAATCGGGATGGGCATGTTCCAGGGCGTCTCCACAAATTCGAATCTGGCCAGCCAGAAACCGCGAAAAATATCCTGACGGTTGTCGCGACCGATAAAGTATATGCTCGCGATTTTTCAATCCCGGTCATGCAAAATGAAATTCTAGCAGAATGACCGACGTAATTTGTACACCAGATTCCAGGTGCCGGGAATCTACCGTCCAAACGATCAGAATCCGTCCAAACAAAACAGAGTTCGAGCGGCACATTCGATTATTACATAGCTTCGCATGATTATAATCGAAACATCTTGTGCAGCACATTTTCAACCATAAAAAGTTACTAAATTTAGCAATTACACCTTATTGAAACAGTTTCTCGCTGCCACCGGTAGGGGATTACTTGCGGCTTCTGGTTGGCCAAGAAAGCAAGTCAGGTCCTCCTTCTGCGTCTGGTGCACGCCCTGGCCCTGCCCGCTCCTCCCATTGACCAAACGCTCTCTATATACGGTTCGTCGTTTAGTGAGATTGGTGTTTTAGAAACATACTGGACACCATCGGAAACCACGAGATAATAATATTTAAGAATAATTATGGTTTGTGCTGTGTTTTAGACTGTCTCGCCATCTTACAGTTTACTCCGCCTCCACCTTTATCTCCTGCCACCCATTTGCCGAACAAAAGAAAACAAAAAACAAGCACATACTTTGAACTTGCCGTAGAGGTTTCAGCCTCCTTTAGACGTTTGCGTGTAGCCGCGCTTCGAGAGAGTCTGTCCACCGTGGACTGAAAACGCTTTGTTTGGACGCCAGTCTGGAAACAGTGGGTACTCCTCAGAGAAAGTATGGCCACCGTGGATTGAAACGCTTTGTTTAAGCGCCAGTCTGGAAACCGTAGGTACTCCACTCAGTCACACCGGCATCCCTGAGGGTGCCGGTGTGAATGAGGGTCAAAATGTAGATACAGAGGGGAGGGTTTTGGAGGGGGAGGAAGCCTCGCAAAACTAGGAAAAAGAAGCAGCTTAACATACACGGTAAAAACAATCCGTAAAAAAACGTAGAACTTCTCATTAAAAGCTACGGAGAAGCATCCGTAATCTGAAATACGGTTGACTTGTCCGTAAATCTAAAGTTACGATTCTGTAAACAACAACAAAAGTTGTTTGCAACAAGCTGAAAATTGTCTTATTTGGTTTAGACTAATAGACAACGGTTCTCACTCTTTAAAATATCATTTATTGCACTGTTAAACAACTTATAATAAAGGTTCCGAAACGAGGTGGCGCTAGTTACCGCTTAGTCGAAAAGGCTCGAGGTAAGATTTTTGTCTAGTACAATCACACTACCGCTATCTCTTCATCTACCCATCTCCGCTCGCTTGTTTTCCTTGTTTTGCTACCGCGCTTGTTTTGTCGAGGGGTAAAAGCGCTTGGTGATTTTTGCGGTTGCGACTGTTCTACGTTAAACTACCTTGTTGTTATCAAAACGGTGAGTTTGTTCTGCTCTTTTTATTAACATTGATTGGGGGCTGTCATATATGCGTTCGCATTTTTGACACTTATTTCGTCGAAAGGAACGCAATCACGGATTTGCGTCGCTTTAAACTTTCGGGTTCAATGACGGTCGCCGCTATCTCAGTTCGTGTTTGACGTTCTTCTCAGAATTGAAAGCTCATGTCCGGTACTCGTTTGAACCTTGTGTCATGTCGCGAGCTCGCTGGTACGCGCGGTTCGTCGTTCGTAGCGATTGGGAGGCTGTTCGCGCGTGCTGGCTGGGGTCCATATCACAAGAGCGAATGACATTTTAGCGAACGGCGACATTTGAGCGAATGGTCGTTTTAGCGAATAACGGGGGCGCGCGTTAACCCATCCGTCGCGCTGCGCTTTACGCCGCTTCGCGGCGACAGTCTGCGGCAACTCATTACAAAAATATGAACTCACTTGGCCCACCCGAAAACGCCGCTTCGCGGCGTCCGACTATTCGCTAAAGTGTCGTTCGATGAAACGTGGGCGTTCGCTAAAACGTCATTCGATCAAGTGAGTGCCTCCCTGCTGGCTGGCAGGAGTGTTGCAGTAAAGCACATGACAACGCATTGTCTGAGTGCGTGAGTGTGCTTTACGAGTTTCGCAACGTTGTTCGCCCGGCCTGTAGCCTGCTCTTTTCGCCGGGGGGTCCCTATTGTTTCGTCGAAATTCGTTTCGCGGAAGAACGTTTCGTGGACAACTTTTCATGGACACGTTTCGTCGACACGAACGTTTCATCGGCACTCGTTACGCGAATTTCACGCTGCAGGGTCGTTTCGCCACGCGTGTATCGGTGAAGTGCGCGTTAACCCACACTCCCGCCTGCGTTCACACCACTTCGCGGTGACAGCCTGCGGCTGCACATTACAAAAATGTTAACCCACCTAACCGACCCGTACAGGTCGCTTCGCGGCGACAGTCTCGTGCAGGTTATTAACCCCCCCCCCCCCCCCCCCCACCCTAAAAAAAAAAAAAAAAATTTGAGCTGTTGATGAAACGATCTGTCGAGGAAACGTCGTTCGATGAACTGATTCCTACCGGTGTATCACCACTGCGTGATGCGCGTTCACTAGTTAGCAATCACAATGCAGCTGATGAATTTCTCTTTTCACAGAATGCACCTGTGTCACCGTACGCTGATTCCCCCCAACCACATGGTCTAAGACCATCGTATTGATATTAATTTTTATGCTCATAATATTCTATGTGTATATTAAAGCAATATACGTCCACTCATTACTTGCATGGCGCCACTCAGGAGGGCACGTGATACCACTGTTCCACGGACTGTAAAATTGTATGCATTAATCTTGGCTCTGCAGTCAGACTGTTTGTAAAGAGCTTAGCCACCGTTCCTGCAGATTCAAATCGTCTGAGATGCAAGCTCATAATTTTTTCAGGAGGCGTCATCAACAACAATTGCACGCTTCCTTGTCACCGAGCGTCAGCCAATGTTTAAAGAGCCTATGCCATTCTTGAAGGTGGTATGGGTCTTGTTTGGAGCTTTTTGCGTGTTGAATTTACCTATCTAAAGGAAGCTTTGGCCAGTCTCGAGTTTATTCAACGGGGAGAGAATCTTAAAATGTGTCAAGTCCACAGGATATGTCATAGAATGACATAATCTATATCACCCTTTCATTTATCGTGCCTCAATGCCCTTTTTCACAACTCGCACAAACATTTGATCTGTATTAATTTTACAAAGAATTACGCTGATGCAGTTCTATAATGAATTGATAACATGTGAACACTGGTTGTCATTAAGCTGTAACTTTCAAGGCTGGGAAACATGGATATCTTGTATAGACCAACACGCAGCACTGACGTCTTGCAGCTGCGGCAGCGCTGTCGATGGCACTGCGCATGCGCGCACACTTCATTTCACGCTAATTTGGTTTCTGCGCATGCGCAGTGCCCACACCTGGTGTGGGCAAACGCGGGCTTGTGTATAAACAGCGTGTCAGTGTATAGAATGTGTGTTTGTTCAGCAGTCTTTCAGGTTTAACATGATCCAACACTACCATAGTCTGACCTGATAATAGAAAAAAAAATGGCTTTACCTTCACCAGGCTGAGTATTCATGAAGCAAGCATGGCATTAATGTTAGATGATGCAATATATCCTCTTAAGGCGGGAACACATTTGCGAAAAAACGAACCGAAAATCCGAGAGAAATCGGAGGCTGCGAAAATCGTAGCTTGCGATTTTTTCGGAAGACGAGCCACATGAGGTGGAATGCGCGGCGCGGAAATCGCAATGCACTGCGGTTTTTGTGCTCCGACTTCAGGAGGCTGTGCGGTAGCCTGGCGAACTGGCGTCCCATATTTCGCGCCTCTTAAAAACTTCAGCTATTAAAACCTCGTTGAATGCCACGCGAGCCTTTGTACCACCACCCTTTGATAGAGACAGGGTCTTCTACGATGGTTGAGACGAGAACGCAGGGATGGCATACGATGTTGCCTGCGCTGCTTCCGAAGCTGCGTGAGCCGCCATGTTGCGAGCCGATCGTATCTTTTCGTTCCGTCCTGTTCCGGGCTTTCGCTCACCGAGCTCCTCCGCCCCGAATTCGGAGGCGCCGTGCGAAAATATCTGGCGCTGCAGATCTTTCGAACCGCTCCCGATTTTCGGAAAAGGGGAGGAGCCTAGCTGCCGTGCGATTTTCGTGTGCGGTTTTCGCACAAAATTCGGCTTTTTTTCGCAAATGTGTTCCCGGCTTTAGACTAATCTTCCAAATCAACCTGGAGAAGGGGTTGAAGAAAATGGGAGCAGTGAAGCGAACAACGGCCCATCGCAAGATTTTAGCGCTGCTGAAGGGCTTCAAATGAGTCTCCACAGAAATCCCTTGAATCTGTATGTTTTTTTATGGTAAGTGCAAATTTGAATTCCTGCACGTCTAGCGTGTCTCTAAGAGGGAGATAACACTAATGTGGCTGACGCCAACCTTTTAAGAAGTGTAAGGAAGGGCTTTGGGAATATTCAAAACTTCCAAATATCGAAGCGAATTATGTCATATTTTGTTTATACTTTCATTGATAATGACGGTTCTGCAGTTGTACCAATTTTCAATCTGAGAATGCTCCAGGACACACCATCTTAAACAAGCAACTGAAACGACTCGCAAAAGCCCACACAGAAGTCTGGAAACTGTATGCAAATAAAACTTATTTCCACTCGTTCATTTAAAACTGGAAGTCATCCTATAATTGTAAACAAAGCTGTTTGATTTATAAAATTTTGAGCCCCCAGAGCAAATGCATGATTTGCTGCGATACGCTGCTGTGAACCGGTGATGCATGCATGCAGTGCGAGTGCTACAATGTCAAGGCAGATGTGGCTGACATGATATGGTATTCATATCCTGTGTTATCAGGAGTCTGCATCTGTTTAATTACAGCAACCAGCATCCTGCCATTTTGCAGCTTATCTCCTTGCAACTTGTTTGCCCCTTGCTCTCGCACAAAGTAATTATTCGTTCAATATTTAAATGTATTATTATTAAATAGTAACTTTTAAGCTTCGAAGTAAGTGAAGCTGCGTGGTTTTTCTTGTTGTTTTATACTGGTTTTTCAAAGCACAAGTCGGCCGGTTTGGCAGCCACCTGCAGCTATGCTTGTACTGCTTGACTGCTTATCATGTCCAGTGCCAACTGCTATCTAAGCTGCTCTAACTTGATTGAATTGATAGTCAAACAATCTTGTGTCTTGTTTTTCAGAAAATACAGTTTGCACCTCAAGACATCAAGCAATGTTTGATGATTTAACCATTTGAACAAGTTGAATTACGGACTCAACTTTGCTTTTGTTTTTCTATAGTTAGTCACAAGTCTGAGCTTTTACAGATTGAGCATGTCCCTGGGAGGGAGGCAACGCTGATGTAGCTGATGTCACTTTTTCGACAACTGTTGTAGCAATATCAGCCGCTTCTAACATGGTGCACACTAAAACCCCAGTTTGAGTATGTATTAAGCTTTTTTCTATTCCATATTTTATTTCCATAACTTCAAAATGGAACTACATGGTTCATTTTTGCTTTGTAGAGGGTTTTTCAGGGCACAAGTTGGCTGATCTCTGGCAGCCTCCTGCAGCCATGCTTGCACTGCAGTGTTACTTTGCATGTCTAGTGCCAGCTGTGATTTAAGCTACTCTTACTTGCCTAAACTAGCATTCTGACAGTCTTGTGTGTCTTGTTTTTCAGAAAAAATAGGTAGCAGCTCGAAACGTCGATAAATGTTTGATGATTTAACCATTTCAACAAGTCGAGTTACAGAGTCAACCTCGCTTGTGTTTTTTATGGTAAGTCACAAGTCTGATTTCTTACATATTGAGCATGTCCCTGAGAGGGAGGCAACGCTGATGTAGCTGATGTCACTTTTTCAACAACTGTTGTAGCAATATCAGCCACATCTAACATGGTGCCACTAAAGCCCCAGTTGGAGCATGTATCAAGCCTTTTTCTAATGCATATTTTAGCAGGTTATGAGTTAACTTCGCAATGGAAAAGCATGGTTCATTCTTGTTTTGTAGAGGTTTTTCAGGGCACAAGTTGGCTGATCTCTGGCAGCCTCCCCATACTTGCAATGCAGGGTTACTTTGCATGTCCAGTACCAACTGCGATTTAAGCTACTCTCGCGTGCTCAAACTGGTATTCTGACAGCCTTGTGTATGTCTTGTTTTTCAGAAGATACGGTTAGCATCTCGAAATGTCGAACAACGTTTGATGATTTAACCATTTGAACAACTCGAGTTACGGAGTCAACTTCGCTGGTGTATTTTCATGGTAAGTAAAAGGTCTGAGTTATTACAGATCGAACAGGACTCTGAGAGGGAGACAACGCTGATCTAGCTCGTGTCACTTTTCCGACAAGTTATGTAGTAGTGTCCATCACATGTTACATTGTTTTGGCCCCAACTGGTGTTATTATGCACTATAGCTACATTCAAACCTAATATGCTAAATTTATTTGAATCTAGTTACTATAGCTAAATTCAAGCCTACTAGGTTACCTGCTGCTGGCTTTTTGTAGCCAATGATTTGCCACGTTTGATTCGCAGGTAGTATTAAGTAGTGACACGTTGCAAGTAACATATTAATGTAACAATTGTTTTCTTGTTTGTGGGAAGTGACTTCTGTAACTTCTCGCTAAGTTTGTTAGAAGTAACTTCTGTATCACATTATTCTTTTCTGGATAAAAAAAAAGTAGCAATGTTCTTTTGTAGTTAATTTTCTAATCTTTCTAATTACAGTTACATTGAGGAGCATAATCTGATGCATACCTTATATCTAGATTGTCATGGATAGACAACGACCAAAAAGATTACGCATTTTGGATTATGAATACAGAGAAAACACTGACAACAGATAAACGAGGAGAATTTTTTTGTTTCAACTCCCTCCAAAAGTTGTGCGTACTGTGAGGCGCAGTGGTGGAGAAAGATAACCTCAGCGGCAATGGCTTTGTGTATCGTTAAAGTCTTAACCAGGAACAAATCCTTGTGTGTGCAAGCCATTCCACCGAGTGTGCCAGTTGAAAGCTTGTTCAGCGATGGAAATAGATGCGCTTGCCTTCAGTAAAGTAAAGATTTTGGATGAAAATTTACAAAAGCAACCGCTGCTTTAACATAAGATGTAATAACACGGATACAGGCACTTTGTGCAATAAACCTGAGCATAGACGGTTCCTACTTTTCCTTGTTTATTTCTTTAATAAAAAAGTCAGGTAAAATAATAGAATTACCTCTTAAGAATAACTGTTATAGGTTACCTTTTTCTTAACTAGCTTAATTAGGTAGTTTTTGTATATAAAGTATCTTGACCAAGGCGACAAATATTGCAAGGGTCCTCTAAATGCATATTTTTCGCTTAGTTTATGTGGATGCATACAAGGTCTTGCTGCAAGAAGAAAGGTCTTGCTGCAAGAAGAAAGGTCTTGCTGCAAGAAGATTTTAAATCTGCTTTCTTGTATATTCTAACACATTATAATGTAACCTTTAACTAAAGGGAACTGCATGGTTCTTTAGTCTTGTTTGTAGGAATTTCTTAGAGCACAGGTCCGCTGATTTCTGGCAGTCTCCTGTGGCCATTGCACTGCGAGATTACCTTGCATACTTATAGCCAGCTACAATTTAAGCAACTCTCATTTGTATAGATTGTCATTCGTGTTTGTCTTTTTTTTTTTTCAGGAACTACATTTGAAACTGTACAACGTGGAGCAGTTTTTGACGATTGAGAACTTTGAAAAAGTCAGTTTGTGGAGTTGGCTGCACATGTTTTTTGCTGGCAAGTAAATACTTCAGTTTTTAAAATCTAGCTTGTCTGAGATAAAAGTAAACCTGATGTGACTGACAGCACCCTTCTGAAAACTGTTTGGACAATATTGGTCACATCTAACCAGGGTTTTTCCCACGGTGGGTGGCAGTGGCTTCGCTGCCAACTAGTCCTGCTAGCCACCCAATTCCTTGAAAAATGTCTTGTGGCCTGCATGTTTTGGCTTGGAAATCCACAGTGCTCGCCAGATTTCTGTGCCACGACATGCAGGTACAGGTCCCCACAATCCAAATTAATGCGACTTGGTTGAGGTGCTAGGAGAAGAAAGCTGCAGCTGCTGCCTCTGTCCCCCTCCCCTCCACAGTCGCAGTCGTATGTCGATTTGTCTACAATTTATGAAGAAAAATCTGCGTCTAACATTTATTTTTATCCTAAAATGTACAGCTTCACTAGATCAAAGGCCACATTTATTAAGAAGGCCTTCCACAAGATTGGCTTTTTCCTCTTTATCTGTGCAGACCCGATTATAGTCTCTGTAAATTAATTTTAAGCGGTTGGCTTCACATATTTATTTCTAGTAGATATAAAATAACTGATGTAATGAAAGTTTCATGGTACTTTTTTAATGGGTTGCTTGTTTCAGCTTGTCCTGTTTTCAATTTAAATGCGACAGCATTTGTGGGTGAACCTTTTATCACTTTTTATTGGTCAGTTGGTGTGTTGGATGGTTCGTGTGACCGATTTGACTCTAGCACAGGTAACGGCACAGGACTTGAGGACAGCTTGGTTTGTATGAGCACTCATGCAGAGAGAACGCTTTTTAAAATCGTGCATCTGACCCTATGCCTTTGCCAGCTCCAAAACCAACTTCTGAATTGAAGTACCTATATGGCATGCAGGTACACCAAAATGCATCGTTTGCACACATCAGAACAATCTCTTAGAGAAAATTATAAGGAAGAATCTCCCTTTCAACGGGCAACAAAAAAAATGCGCAGTCAGAATGCGCTGACGAAGTGGCCAAGTGAGCTCCTTGAGTGGTAGGCACTTGGGTAAAAAAAAATGGCTAGATCACATTTCGGGGGTAATCAGGTGCACAAAGTGTGGAGCTTGCAAACAAACATGCATGCCATATAAAAATACTCTGTTAATTTTTAACTCGCTCGACTCAAAAGCGTGTGCACAGGTGTGCTCAAACGTGGATAGGATGGAGCTCCCAAATTGTGAGATTGGCAGGGGTGGAACGGCTGCGCCATTTTGCGCCAGACGCATGTGTCTGCGCCATCCTGCGCCGCAGTTATTACCTCGTGCCATTATGCGCCAAATGGCAAAACGTGCGCCAAAAGCTTTTTTATTTTGTCTTGGTTTCGGTTTTATTGACTTGATTGGCCACAATGAGCGCGTTTAGACTGACCGGCCTTGTAATCCTTTGTTCTGTTTATTCTCCCTGTGTATCCCGAGTAGGAAGCGCGCGAAAAAACTCGGGATTCTAAGCTCTACACCACCTCCTGCGACTGGATTGTTATTCTTTAACCATAAGCGGTTAAGCAAGTCGGCTGAGCTGAGGTCGAGCCGTTAAGCGTCAGATTGCCTGAGGCTCTGCGGCCCGGGATCCAGACGTCAGCCAGTTGAAAACAAATGAGAAAAATATTCCTTTTAGTACTTCATCGTTAGAAGTTGGAACTGCATTCCCGCAAGATAAATTGTGATTTGATAGAACTGAAACACTGTCCGATCCGAAACCTTGCCGGCCAGCAGCTCTTACGCGAGTGGTAAATCTGCTCGGCATACATTAACCTTGCTCCTGCTTATCGCTTCAAATACGATAACTTCGTTAATCGTAGTCTGCTGCTTCGATATCGAGTTGCACAATAGGTTAAAGTCGAAATTTGTTTCCCTATTCCTCCATGCAACTCCACGTCCGTTGCTTACGCACGTCACGTGGTTCGCACATATAATTACTATGTCGAGCACGTGTGGGTTGTGCGATAAGCAGTGCTGGTTTGCATTTTGAGCAACTGAAATCCACTCAGAAAATGTCAAGGATACTATCTTCAGAAACATGGGGTACTTGCTTTTTGATTCTCATTCACCGCTCATTCACACTGGAAGCGGATCCGCATTCGCAAAGCAGTTGCGAACGCGGTTGTATAAAGACCCAGTAAAATTGCACATGCACTCGATGACATCAAGTGCGCATGCAATTGTACTGGATCTTTATACAAGCGCGTTCGCAGCCGCTTTGCGAACGCGGATCCGCTTCCAGTGTGAATGAGCGGTAAGGCTCACAAAGTTTCAAGTTTTCGCATCTGTTATGCTGTTATCCCATCTACTTAGGTCCCTAACCACTCATGTTAATCTGTGCTGCTAAGCACGATTGATATTGCTCCAGTGCTTGTCTAAGACACAAGCTGAAGGGCAATAAAAACTGATCTGAGCTGCTCCTAGCCTGCTCCAGAGCATAGTTTTAGCTGC